AGGCCGGAAGAACAGGGAAGCAGGCTGGCACAGAGTCTGGGACTGGAGCCGCAGCTATGGGGGAGCTGAAAAGGTAGGTAGGGAGAGGAAAAAATGGGACTAAGGGAAAGTGTGGGTGTTAAAGAGGGGCTGTGGGTGTGGGGAGCCAGAGGATGGCTCCAGGGCAGCTAGAGAAGTTGCAGAGAGTGGCCGTAGGTGCTGGAAGCTGGAGCAAGGCTCCAGCTGCTGGAGCAAACTGCAGGACAGCTAATAGGAGCTGGGAAGCTGCAGAGAGGGGGGGAGGATTACATCAGGTGCAGGGGAAGCCTGAAAACAGAGAGGACAGCAGAAAATCACAAGAAAAGCAGCAGGTGAAAGGCAGCAGAAAGTCACAGGGAAAAGGCAGTAGGAATTGAGAGGAGATTGGGAAACTAGTGGAGAGGGGTCAGGGGCTGGAGCTGAGAGAGAGCGAGAGAGAGAATGAGGCTGGAATTTAAGCTAAGGAAGGGACTGAGATTCAGTAAAACATGACCCAACTCGGGGTTGCAAATGACACTGGTTTTATTGAATAGGGGAGATGGTGACACTGTCTTATTGGTTCCCTTGCACCCCCCCACCGCGCGCATGCACACGCACACACTGGCACCAGGGGTTAAAGAGGCTTGGTACAGGGGCTGAAGTCCACTGAAGTCCAGGAGGAGAGAGACAGAGAAAGAGAGTCCAAATTCTAGGAGGAGGTGTGCAGGTAATATCTACCTATCCAGGCTGGAAAGGGGTCCTTGTCCAGTAGGTGTTGTCCAGAGCGGGGTCTCCGCAGGTCCTTGACCACCTGGGCAATAGCGATCATCACCTCCTGGATTTCACTATCCAACGCAGGGTGTCTTGGGCTCACACCAAGGCTAAAGACCTTGACTTCAGATGAGCTTAGGGGACTTCAATGAGCTTAGGAGACTAGTGGGGGAGGCACTGAGGGCCCAGAAGGTAGAAGAGATGGGAGCCCACGAGGGATGGTCGCAACTTAAGGGGGCGATCCTCCAGGCCCAAAGGATAACCATCCCTGAGAGAAGCAAGGGGGGTAAGAGCGCTCAGAAATCCCCTTGGCTCAGCAAGGGCATTCAGCAATGCCTGAGGACTAAAAGCGGGGCGCACAACCAGTGGAAGGGAGGAGCTATCACCAAGGAGGAGTACTCCTCCTCGGCCCGGGAATGTAGGTGGGCTACTAGGAAGGCCAAGGCAGAGATGGAGATCAGGCAAGTGTCCAGGATTAAGGACACCAAAAAGTCCTTTTTCAAGTACATTGGGAGCAAGAAGAGGGCACCAGGCAATGTAGGGCCCCTGCAAGACGCAAACAGTAATCTTGTGGCTATGCCAGATAAGGAAGCTGATATTTTTAACTGTTTCTTTGCCTCTTTTCTTGAATGGGGACAGGGATATCCCACCTACCAGAGGTAGGGACAATCTTGGGGATAGCTCTATCAAGCCTTCAGTCAGGATAGATGTAGTTAGGGATCTTCTGGAAGGGCTAGACATTTTTAAATCTGCAGGTCCAGATGCCCTCCGCCCAAGGGTGTTGAGGGAGCTGGCAGGGGTCATCGCGGAGCCCTTGGCCGGGCTGTATAAGCATTTGTGGTCATCTGGCCAGGTGCTGGGGGATTGGAAACTGACTAATGTGGTCCCAATTTTCAAGAAGGGGAGGAAGGAGAACCCAAGTAACTATAGGCCTGTAAGCCTCACCTCGGTGCTCGGGAAGATCTTGGAGAGGATCATCAAGGAGCACGTCTGTGGAGGGCCGACAGGGGAGATCATGCTCAGGGGCAACCAGCATGGGGGTTCATCAAAGGCAGGTCCTGCCTGACCAATCTGATTGCCTTTTATGACCAGGTAACTAAATCCTTGGATGATGGTGTCAGCATGGATGTAGTCTTTCTAGACTTTAAGAAGGCCTTTGACACTGTCTCTCACC